GCAAGGCTGCTGCTTCTGCCTTTGCAAAGCAGTGTGACAGCACTGCCTGGACACCACTAGATTGGTGAAAAATCTCACTTATCAAAGATTGCCACCCATCAGAGTGTTTGAAAAGCCTGTTACAAGAGAGGTAGGGAAGACTTAAAATGTGCCACCATAACTGAATCCCTTCTCAGCCCTTGGAGCGGAGAGGGGGGCAAAAGAAAAGCCACCATCTGGAAGCATTGTTGGGGAAGAATAGAAACCACTGCTGGCATCTCTCAAAGCTTGGAGGAAACACTGTTCTGGCAAACCCTGCCCATACTGTTCCTTCCCTTGCAGGTTCCTATTCTGAGCACATTCCTGGAGCATCTTTAATAGGATTCAGGAAGCACCTACTTGATGTACTGCAGACATGTGGGTTATGCGGGGGCTGACTGTATGAGCAGGGGTTGTAGGCTAAAGCTGGATCCTTGCTGTCTGAAGACAGTGAAAGCAAGGGGAGGATGAGTAACATCAGATGCTGGAGCAGAAGGGAGAGGGACAGTAAGGCTGAGGCAAGAGAGATAAGGAGTTCCCATCTGACTTCTCACCTTTGCCTCAGCCTTGCTGCTACTCTTAACTCTTCTCCTCCAACACCTGGGGTGAAATCCTGGCACCATTGAAGTCTGTGTGACTTTTGCCATTGGCGTCAGGATTTCACCCCAATGCGTAACTCCAGTGATGTCACAGGGCTGAATGTGGCCTAAGGGGAGGGAAAATTACAGAAAAAAGAAAAAAAAGTCTTAGCATAAAACACTGTGAGCTAAATTGGTATAAAATCTCTTCCAAGTATTTGAACTATATACGTGTTATAAGAGAAAATATACTTCAAAAATAACTTCTGACAAAAGACAATGATTGATTTATAGCTACATATATCTAATCTGCAGGCTCTCATAATGACCTACGCACAGTGGAGATGGCTTTGGAGTATTCTTTCAACCTCCCCACAGGTCCCTCCCACAACCTCGTCAGTCTTTCTGGTAATTTCAGGAAGAAGAAAAGTAAAGGATTTCAACTTCTGTTTCTCAGGAGTTTCCAGATTTTCTCTCTTCACTCTCTCTGTTCAACAAATCAACATACAAGACACTCAATGAAGGTGTCTCCTAGCTCCAAACTGGAGCCAGAGCCCTACAGAAATGAACACACAAAAGTAATGCCTTGGGATTACTCACATGTGTAAAGTTACGTTTGTGCATGTTTGCAGGATTGGGACCTAAACCTGGGAGCAGTTAGGCTCTCAGTTAAGTTATGAGTAAAACTTGCACCCTAGCATTATCACAGATATATCTTCAGGTTCAAGAGCATATGGCCAGAACAGTTGAAATCCTGGCTCTCTTGAAGTCAATGACAAAACTGCCACTGACTTAATTGGGGCCAAGATTTCACCCCATATGTTAAAAAAGGTTAAAAAAAAGCCTTGCTATATACGCTGGAGCAGATTTTCATATAAATTGAGGCCTGAGGTGTGTGTATATTTGAATATCTGTCTGCACTCCTGCTTTGGCCCATGTGCTTACAATCTCTGTTCGCGTGCACAGATGCCACCTGTACATATGCAATTGCAGTAACTGGGCATGAAAAAAAGGTTCAACAATGCAAGTAGATCTCAGGCCTGACCTTCTGAAAAGCTGATCCTGTAAATTTTATGGGTCCAGATTCCCGTGAGGGGCAGAGGGAGTGGGAGTCACAAATCCACATGATGGCTCTGACTGCTGGATTTTCCTTTTGGATCTTTATTTAGGGTCTGATCCCTTCAGGTGTTGCATGCTGCTGTTGCCTTCTACAGGTGGTGTCTCCTTAAAGGCGTGTTGAATTAGTTGTGTCAAATTCTGTGAGGTGTGTCAGTGAGTCATGTGAGATCTGGCCTTGACAGACTGCATCTAAAGAGGCTCCTGTGTATGGATTGTCTTGTGTTTAGGAGAGATCTGCGTAACATATTCCCCGCCCTCCCTTTTTTGGTGTTAGTGAATAACTGGGGTTTGGGGCCAAACCCTCCTTGTTGTCAGACAAATAATTTTACTTAGCATTTTTTCGTCGGCAAAAGCTTCACAAACGTTAGGCTCAAAATTGATGGATGTTTTGCCCAAGTAATGACAAGAGGATTTGGCTCATTAGCTAGTTAATCCTCACAACACCCTTCTTCACAGATAAAATCCCCTTTTTAGTTATTGATCACAGGTGTGTTGGATGGGTGTATGAGTATAAATAAGTCCTTTGGAAGACAGAGTGCCTTTTTAGCATAGTGGCTGCTCTCACTGAGGATGTGGTCTACTAATGGGGATGATACTAATGTGTGTTTTAGGGGCTAGAATCTAGCCACCATTGTACTGGATGTATTATCTCTTGCTTCTGTAAAAATTGGGATCTGTAGGGTACTGTCTATTTGAATTTGGAGCAGTAAGGCATGTAGTAAAAGTAATTTTTAAAAAGAGGAATTTTGCAAATAGCTATTTTACTCCTGAATGGTAGAAATGCATTTGTCGCACATAAGGTGTAAATTTTAAGGTTTCTAAAATTTGCCAGGCTGGTGTTGAAAAACTAATACAGAAAACAAAAACAGCTACTTTGGTTTTGGAGCCCACAAAAACCAATGGTTTGTGCTCCCTCTGCTGGCTGTAAAGCAGCAGGTAACCAACAAACCTTGCTCTCAGAGATGTATAGATACGGTACACAACAAGCCTTATGTAATTTTAGTTTTCAGAGTAACAGCCATGTTAGTCTGTATTCGCAAAAAGAAAAGGAGCCATTTCCAGCACAAATCCGGGTTTTCTCACCCTCCCCCCCCCCCCCCCCCCCCACACACACAGACTCACTCTCCTGCTGGTAATAGCCCATCCAAAGTGACCACTCTCTTTAAAATGTGTATGATAATCAAGGTGGGCCATTTCCAGCACAAATCCAGGTTTTCTCACCCTCTGGGGGCGGAGGGTGAGAAAACCTGGATTTTTGCTGGAAATGGCCCAACTTGATGATCACTTTAGATAAGCTATTACCAGCAGGAGAGTGGGGTGGGAGGAGGTATTGTTTCATGGTCTCTGTGTATATATAATGTCTTCTGCAGTTTCCACAGTATGCATCCGATGAAGTGAGCTGTAGCTCACGAAAGCTCATGCTCAAATAAATTGGTTAGTCTCCAAGGTGCCACAAGTACTCCTTTTCTTTATGTAATTTTAGTGTTAAATGAGAATCGCTTAGTTAGGAGGGTTGCAAGTTAAATAATAAACTTTTCTTAAGGGTTCTGGTTTGTCACCTCGCTCTTTCAGTGGTTTGAGCATTGGCCTGCTAAACCCAGGATCTGGGGCAAAAATTGTGGATTGGTCCTGCTTTGAGCAAGGGGTTGGACTAGATGACCTCCTGAGGTCCCTTCCAACCCTGATTGCATGATTCTTTACAAAAATAAGGATTTTAAAGGAAAAACATGACTAATCTTACTGATCCTGAATTTCTGTGAACAGCTGGGTTGAATTGTTTAACATACTCTAACGCAACAAAGAGTGAACCTCTCTAGTCTGTTATAATCTGCAGAACCAAGAATACTATGGAATTTTTTTCTGCTCATGGTTTAGAAGTGATTCTTAGATTGAGTGCTGCTGTCCTCTGACTTTTTGTTCCTTGTAGTATGGTTCTTGGAGGTCACTTAAATTATTAATAAACTTTTTTATTTTTAAATAGTATTAAGTAATATCTCTTCTTTACTATTCTAACTAATAATCTGTCCTGTTTCTTTCCAATTATCCTTTAAGAAGTGGCAGTTTGCATTAATTAATGACCTGTAATGTATTCTCTGTAACTAAATCATCTGACTTTATATGTTGTTTATTTAGGTATGGAAATTTCTTTATAAACTATAATGTCCAAATGTAAGAAAAATTTTACTCAGCCACAGTGTCACCATTTTTTGTTAAACTTCGTATGGTGACACTGAAGGAGAACAGGAAGCAACAGCCCCTCTGAAGCACCTGGCATTGGCCACTGTCAGAAGACAGGATACTGGGATACATGGACCTTTGGTTTGACCCAGTATGGTCATTTTTATGTTCTAGATCGGGGAGGGTGAACTATGGCCCTGGGCCAGATCCGGCCCATCACGGCTTTCAGTTCGGCCCGCAGGATCGCCAGCCCTGTGGTGCAGCGGGGCTAAGGCAGGCTTTCTGCCTGCTCTAGCCCGCGCTGCTCCCGGAAGCAGCCTGCACCATGTCCTTGCAGCCCCTGCGGGGCGGAGCGGGGCAGAGGGCTCTGTACGCTGCCCTCACCTGCAGGCACCTCCCGCTGCAGCTCCCATTGGCCGGGAACGGGAAACTGCGGCCAATGGGAGCTTTCGGGGTGGTACCCACGGGTGAGGGTAGCATGTGGCGGAGCCGCCTGCTCCACCCCACCTCCAGGAGCCACTTCTGGACATGCCAGCCACTTCTGGGAGCGGTGCAGAGCCAGGGCCGGCAGGGAGCCTGCCTTAGTGCCAGTGCCACCCTGGAACTGCTCGAGGTAAGTGACGCTGGGCCAGAGCCCGCACCCTCAACACCTCCTGCACCCCGCACCCAAACCCCCTGCCCTGAGCCCCCTAACCCGCTGCCTTGAGCCCCCTGCTGCGCCTCTCCTGCACCACAACCCCCTGCCCTGAGCCCCCTGCCGCACCCCGCACTCCCTCTCTCATCCCAACTCCCTGCCCCAGCCCTACATTCATTGCCCTGCATACAATTTCCCCACCCAGATGTGGCCCTCGGGCCAAAAAGTTTGCCCACCCCTGTTCTAGATTATGCTTCTTCACTCAGCACTTCTGATACTTGTGTGTACTTCAGTTTACAGTGGAAGAGTTTGTGGAAATAAGCACAACAAAGCTTTTTAAAAGAGCTGCAAGCTTTTCCTTTGACTTTGGATTTCTTAGTTCTCCCAGGCAAGCCTCAAGCTTAGAAGCACAATGGAACTAGTTTTGTTAGATAAGCGAACCTTCACTGATTAGAGTTTCACTTCGCATGCAGGAAAAAATCATGTCCCTGGGGAGAGGAACTGGTGTGGTTCTGGAAAGATAGTCATTGAAGAGGTACGTATGCCCTTTACACAGTACAGAACTAAGTTCTGTGGGGGTTTCTCTACACGAGCATGTCAGATGTAGGTGTGGATGTGATAGAGAGGCAGGGACAGAGTATCCACTGCTACATGCATCCTCCTGTTTTTCCCCTCTGTAGAGATGTGTGCTAGGGTTACTCTAGGATAAATGAGGATACTCTAGGATAAATGACCAGTTACCTTGTGGCGGATTTCTGGCTGCTCCAGGGTCTCAGGCATGGGCGGCAGGTGAACACGCAGTTGTGGGAGGCTAGCCTCTCGTCCCTCCCACTCTGCCTGAGGCCCCGCCCCTCCTCCCCTACCGGAGCCCAGAATATATACCCCCTGTGGCCGCCAGCCCTCTTGCTGGGTGGGCGGGTGGCATGGCTGGAGCACCCCCAGCCCTGGAGTGCCAGACAGGCAGCATGGCCGGAGCGCCCCCAGCCCCAGTGTGTCAGGCGGATGGTGTGGCCGAAGTGCCCCCATTTCCAGCCCAGAGGGTCCCCACCCCCGGAGTTCTGGGCGGGTGACATAGTCCCAGTGCCTGGTGGACAGACAGGCAACACGGCATAGCCCTACTTCCAGCGCCCCCAGCCCTGGGCCTTGTGCGCACTGGCCCCAGCCTGCCTGCCTGTCCCAGCCTCTTGGTCATAGAAGAGTGGGAAGGGAACTGGAAGCAGGCAGGAGAGGCACTTGGGGTGGAGCGTGGGAGGGGCTATATCAGGCTGTTTGAGGAGGCACAGCCTTCCCCTGCCTATGCTACCCGCCGTCCATGGTCTCAGAGGAAGTTTGCCCCCATGATTCCCGACCCTGGCACTTCTACCTGTCCCCAGTTGGTACTGGGTGTTCGATAGTTTTAGTACTTTCATTTTATGGCATTACCATTCACCACTTTTCATGCTTTTGTATTCTAGGTAGCACCATTAGAAACTATGGTGAGAGCTCACAGTCCCAATCAAGTAAGTGCTGCTTTTTGTTCTAGTAAAAATTAGCTGTGTGATAAATACACTCAGTGGTTGCTTTCTGTTTCTGTTAAGACTTTTTGGACAGTTCTTGAAAACGGTTGCACCTTCCTCTGGGCTCCATGAATCTCAACATTGTTATGTCCTTTTTCAAATCCCCTGGAGTCCAGCAGTTTAGGAGCCTGATGCATTTCTTGTGAAAATGAGTCAGGCAGTGGCTTGGATCCCCATGAAACAACTGGTAGTGGTGCTACCACTCACCTTACAACATTTAGTCTGGTGGTTAGAGCACTAACTTGGGACGCGGGAGACTCAGGTGCAATCCCCCCTCCCACTGCCTGACGGGCAGAAAGGATTTGAACAGGGGTCTCCCACTTCTCTCAGCAAAGTGCTCTAATCACTGAGCTATAGGGTATTCTAACATGGGGCTGCCTCAGCCTCTCCTACTGAAGCTGTTCCATTGTGGCTATATAATGAAAGAATCATTGGAGCAGGGGGACTGGCTCCTAGGTCTCTCATTTCCCATGTGGGTGTCCTAACCACCAGGCTATAGAGTCATTGTCATTATCTCTCTGGCCTAATGAGTATTAAGTATTTATTCACAGCAGAACAGTCTTTGAGCCAGACAGAGTGTGTGTGTCTGTGAGAATGACTCAGTAGTCTAGTGGTTAAGGCACCTGCCTGAGAGGTGGGAGATCCCAAGCCCAGGAGTGGTGTGCCAGCAGTGGTGAATATGGTCACTTGGGGGAAACAACAGGGGTGCAGACATGACTTCACTGCCCTGCATCTGCAAGGCTGAAGTGCAGGAGCATATTATTCCCTTTTGCACTTTTGTGAGGTTTAAAGCAGTGGTGGGCAACCTGCGGCCTGTCAGGGTAATCTGCTGGTGCGCCGCGAGACCGTTTGTTTACATTGATCGTCCACAGGCATAGCCACTCGCAGATCCCAGTGGCCGCAGGTTGCCCACCACTGATTTAAAGCCTGTTCCACAAGACCACATTAGGCACTGTGTATAAGAGGCAATACTGATGTGATTTGTGGTGATGTTCACTGGCCGCTGGATCTGATGCCATCAGTTAGTGGTGTAATTGCACAGGACCTCCGGCTTATGTGGTTATGTATACAGAGGTGTCACCCCCTGTGGTGTAGTGGGACCGATTCACGTTGGAATGGCATACTGGCACTTTTGGCACTCTGCACAGCATGACCGTGCACGCACCATACATGCAAGATCACACTGCATGGAGGATGATGTTTTGTACAGCAAAATGGGGTCCTCCACACACAGTGTGCACGTGAGGTCACTCCGGGGGGGGCATTCCAGCAGTGGCCCATTCCGGACTACACTCATGGTCACTGTGCCTCAAAGAACAATTTCAATACCGGTTACACAGTGCTCCAAGGGTTCACTGACCAGTCAGGATATACATAGTACAAACTCCAAGTATTTTATGTATTCAAATTTCTACAATAATTACATCCTAAAAACCTATGCTAAAAGAACATTAAAGTGGCAAAGTCAGGCACTCCTCAGTTAGAAAGTGCCAAAGTTTAGGTTCCCAAGTTACCTCTGGATGCTAAATGAGTTGTTCTATAGTTTCTGTAAGAACTCAGTTAAAAAAACTGAACATTTTCCCTTTAATAAAAGCATTTATTGTTAGCTTTGCAAGACAGTTTGCACTTTGAACTGAGTAATTACCTGAAAGTAGAATTTGTAAAGAAAAGGCTCAGTTACAAAACTGTTTAATCTCACAAGCCTTCCCTTTCTAGTCCATTAGCTGATGGATTGCGCCCTGCTTTTCATCGGGAGGGAAAGGCCACAGAGGAGATACAACAGTTCTACTTGCCACCCCGAATCAGGATTTTTTTTAGGGGATGCATACAATAGGATCTCAGCAGACCTGCGAAAGAGCACAGCTCCCCCATGAGGATGCTATCCTTCAGGAAATGCTTCTGCAGCATTTTAGAGACCACAGACCCACCATGATGAAAGCATGCTGGCAGCGGTTACCTCTGTAATGAATACGCACTATATTTACATTCATGCTGATAGCTCCCTGTGTTCCTACCATGGTGCCATTAAAGGAGTTAAGGCTCTCCAAATCATTTCCTTTCTTCCTACTATAAAATACTTTTCCAAATGCACTCTTTTGGTAGACAGCTAAAAATCTACATAATACATACAATCTGCAACTTGTGAAAGCAAGTAGGGAAACATTCTCCCATTACACTCTCTTTCATCACAGAGATTAGACATCCAAAATACCTTTTAGGTTCTTTTGTCCATCTCCCTGCCAGCGTAGAATCTTTCTACACAGTATCTCTTTTAATGCCTTTTCCAGTCAATACTGGTCATCTCCCTTAAGACATTGGTTGATCTCACTGTTAGGAAGTTTTTTCTGATATCAAGCCCCAATTTCACGTCTGTTAATTTCATCCCATTTCTTTTGGTTATACTGTCGTTAATTGTCTTAAATAATTCCACATCTTTCGTAGGATGAAATCCTGGCCCCATTGAAATCAGTGGGAGTTTTGCCATTTACTTCAGTGGGGCAAGGATTTCATCCTTGGAGTTTACATCCTTCTTTCTTATATCTGTACCATAGATGGGCCTGAATCAAAAATCTGAACCCTCTACACCCAGTGGTTTTCAAAGCCGGTCCGCCACTTGTTCAGGGAAAGCCCCTGGTGCGCTGGACCAGTTTGTTTACCTGCCACGTCTGCAGGTTTGGCCGATTGCGGCTCCCACTGGCCGTGGTTCGCCGCTCCAGGCCAATGGGGGCTGTGGGAAGGGCGGCCAGCACATCCCTTGGCTCGCGCTGCTTCCCGCAGCCCCCATTGGCCTACACCATATTTTGTGGCCATGTGATTAGATTTGAATCCACCACAAAACCAGATCCTGAACCAGAAGGAGTATGTTGTCCAAACCTTGTTTAAATGCAGCATATGGGGGAAGAAATAGCATGACTCTGGTTCATCTTGTGATATTGCCACCATTCAAGATACAGGAAATAAAAAGTCAGGTAATCTCATGAAGTTTCTTCCACTTTGGGGTGAAGGTTGAGACTTCTACCTGCCAGATGTCAGTACCATCAAACCCAAGCCCCAATCCTTGTTCAGTCTGAAACCTAAAATCTAAACTAGCCAAAAATTAATCGAGATTCTGATCAGTATTCAAATACTGCCTGCTCAGCACACTTCTAATTTAGAGATGGCTCCTCTCTTCCCCTTAATCCACCCTTGCTATGTATCTATTTACCACTTCTGATCGAAGCAGTTAGCCAACATTCAGGGTTTTGCAGGTTGTTTCTGTTAGGAGGAAAAATTGATGATGGAGTCCTGTATTTCTTCGATGCAGTCCTGTTGATTTACAAAGAACGTACAAAGTCTTGTTTCCCTGAACATAGTAGAAATCAAACAACAGGAGGCAGTCTTTTTCTCACAGTTCCAAGCCTCTTGTTAACCAGGCCTCTGCTCAAAAGCACTTTCTCTTAGGTTTTTATTAGAGTCATGCTACTGGTGCTTCTCTGGGCCTCCCTTGTTGCTTTCTATGTCTGCCTCTGTGTTTCTCTCTCTCTCTCAGACCATACACAAAACTCCTGCATTTGTGTTCAGCTCCTAGTGAAACCCCTCAAAGTGCATGGCTGAACTCTGTAACCCTTCTGCCAGATGGAAGCAGCAGCAATGAGGGCCGGGTTCAATATCTATGGGTTCCTCCTAAGGATACAAAACAGAACCAGCTTGAGCCCCCTCCCAGTAATCTGGGAAAACTTAACACCACCTCTGGACTCCTCTAAGAAGCAATACTTCCCCTTTCTCAAGCGCTGAATCTGTATTTAACAAAAGAAAACTTGTAGTAAAAAGGGAAAAGGAACTTGGCATTAATTTGGAAAACACCACAAACCTGATTTGAAAGCATGTGAGCATATGAGCATATCCCCACCCCATAATATGTTGGGCAGTGTCCTTTGCCTCAGTTTCTCATCTTGTACAATGAAGTGGAAGTCCAACAAATGTTCCTTTAACTTGCCATTGCCTTCTTCCTCCACTGCACTCCACTCACAGTTGCTGTCTTTGCTTAGTGAAGGGCCAGAGTTCAGAGGTGCATTCACATGAGTTCACCTCCCATACCGGAGTTGGGGGAGGCATCAAGCAATGCTGCAGCCTCGCAACTGACTCTCAGTTGCCACCATTCACTCTGGCGCTGCTGGCTGCTGACATTCACTCTGACGGCAGATTCTGAGGTTCCACCACTTAACACAGCTCTCAGTGATTTCAGCGGGTAGTGGGGACCCTCACTGTAGGCTGGGGAGTCTGTTTCACTGCAGTGCTGTCCCACACCAGGTCTTAGGCTCAGCACCGAGACTTGGTTACCGGTGATTTCGACTCTAGTGATCACTGAACAAAACAAGGACTCTCAAATGAGTCTAATCGGTTCTATCTTTAAACAGTGAAGAGGAAGAGGTTCAAATGGTGCCTAGGGCTCTTTAGGCAAAGCCTCTTTCGCTGGGATTTTGGTGTTCCTACCCCCTGCTTAGCAAGTGAGGTTCAGTTGAGGGTGACCCCCTCTCTGCTGCCCTTTACTCGTGCGGTCAGGATAACATTTCGTTACCCCTGCATTCAAATACTGGTGATTTGTGACCCATCCCCAGCCAAAACTGGTCATTTTGGCAGAGCAGTTTCCTCTGCTGTGCACCTAGCAGAGCCAGGATTTCTATGCAGACATGGTCTGCTGCAGAAGTCTTTTCCCCCAGCTCATCACTATGTGTTGGGGAGAGCTCATTCAGACCCTGCTTACAACTCCTGCTGCAGCCTTGCATGTGACCTGTGTTTTGGGTGGTGTCTCCTATCTAGCAGCTTTCTATTCCATAAAGGAGCTTAATTGCTTTTTACATTTATGCTGAATGAAGGACGGCTATTATGACCACCAACTTCAACAGGCCTTCACCCAATTATCAGCATAATATTTACCTGTAGCACATTGCTTTTCAGAGCTC